GTTTGCCATCGCTGTAGCATTGTTTGAGAAATTGTGCCCTCCAACCGAACTGATACTGGCAACCGAAATTTATTACTGAAATGTAGATGGAAATTCACACTTTGCAGGTTTTCACAAATCGAGAAAAGCCATCAATAGCGTTACATCTTTCTGAGTTTGCTGCCAAGAGTTTGGCGCTCAGACTTGGCACCCGTGAGAAAATCGATCACGTTAACCGTAGCTACGGGGACGTGCGCGATTTACCCTTCAGGTTGGTCGTTGGAGTTCTGCCTATTTTCGCCACAAAGTAATGATTCCCTTTCAGAAAATTAATTTTTGTTCTACGTCCATTCAAAAATGACCTTTTTGTTCAACTTGGTAGCTCTGAGGAGCCGTGTTATGGAGGAATAGACGATCTTTGCGAACGTTTTGACTCTTGGGTTTGTTGTGTTACAGTATTTGCTGCCAATGTCTTGAGATGTTTCCCAATAGGAATCATGCTCAGGTCCGTTGCATTCGTGACAGAGACTTATTAGCGAAGGAACAACGTCAAGCAGAGAAAAGCAGTTGCTCGTCCATTGTGACGAACTCGTCCAGGTTTTTCGGTCGGTGCATTCTTTCAAATGTTTGGCATTTCGTTTACATTTTCCGGCCCATTCGTGGAATACGCCGCGATTGTGTTTCCTGTTTGAAACTGCAGGAAAGTTTGAATGGATAATATTTTTATAGAAGCAGAAGCCGGCTCAAAAAAGAAAACATTGGATTCACTCGCTCAATTAGTATTGCCGATTTGTGACGACGTTTAGGAGTTTTCACGTGAATCTGATTCGACGTCAGAGGTCAAAATATTGAGTCACTTTTACAGGACAGCGAGTAGAGTGAGGGGGGGGGTGTGGTTCACTAGGACAGAAAGCGACTTTTTCGCGTTTCGCAGCGCGAAACATTTTTCGCTGCGGGAACCTCAGGTCCACCGCTGATCATCAGTGGACCCGAGGTTCCCGCAGCGAAAAATGTTTCGCGCTGCGAAACGCGAAAAAGTCGCTTTCTGTCCTAATGAGCCACACTCGAGTGAGGGGAGGGTACTTTCCAACAGGCAAATGCTTCCCTTTGTTTCAAGCAACATTTCATCAGACAGAACCAAATGAGCGGTTCTATTCCAACATGTTCGCATTTTCTATCGAAGCAGAGAAGAATTTTTCAGTGATGTTATCCCCAGCAATGCACCTTTTCATGCATCCATGCAGACTCTTTCAGTACGTTCTTCGCCTGCTGAGTGGATAGCACTGCTTCATTCTGTTCATCTGTTTGTGAACACCAATAAAGATGCCGCCGCGGTGCCCTACCTTTGCAGGCCGCCTGAACCTCGACCAACGCATGCTCCTCGACTCAGTTCGTATATTTTTTATGGAAATATTTTAATATATACTGGAACTATTACTAAAGTGTTGCAGAGGTTCCCAAGCTTCCTAACCGTCAGCAGCAACCGTTTGGGACAGAAACGGATGCGGCTTATCATTCCAGTAAAAACGCAAGCAGCGCTCATCAAATGGTTCATGAGAATGGCAACCCGATGTAAGTGCAAGAAGTTCTGTATTTTACATGGGTTCTGATCTTATATATTTTTGTGATTGCTTATTTATGCAGAAACGCCAATAATATGGATCCGGCCAACAACGGTCGTGGTGACGTCGCTGTAGCAAGGAGGGCTAATGTAAGTGGGAAGACTTCTTGAACATAAATATAAAATTTTGATCGCCATAAGGTGATCCGTCTCGATGCTTCTCGTGATGGCTGAAACTTCAGGAACAACAGTACCCTGTGCAAATGAATGTTATGAAGCAGAACGCTTCCCACGTGGTGCCCATGCAAGGCCGAAATTTTGTGCCCGCAAACTCGGTACATTTTTGTGAGGGGAAGTTGTAAGTCGCTTCGTCTGTCTCTTCCATTTAATATTTTAGCGCACTTTTGCTGACGGTCTTCCTCCTGCAACTGCATCGCAGCAAATCGTGGGAGTTACGGCTCAGCCAGCACAGTGGCAGCTGATACAACCGGGAACAGTTTTACAAGTGCAACTAGCTCAGCAGCAGTATCCTGCTGGAACAACGCTACACGCTTCTCCATTGCGTGCTCAACAAGTAGTGGTGCAGACTTCGCAACAGTCGCCTGTCGTTTACCAAGTTGCTCCAGTAGCGCAGCAGCAAGTGCTGAAGCAAGGAATTCCAGGTTCAAGCAAGGTAAGCCTGAATAGTTTTTCCACTTTAAGTCATTAGCTTTTATTTTTTGGATCAAGAAATTCACAAGTTCGCTTTCTTCATCATGTAACGGCGATTTCTAAGTTTACTGGAAGGTGGCTTGGCAAATAAAGATCACAAGAGTGTTCTAGATAGAGATTGCAGTGAAGCGCAAAAGTCAAACCAAACCTGGGTAAAAAGGGGTGTTGCAGCCATTTCTAGTTTTTGATTCTGCGTAAGTACTTGCTAAATGTTGTGATTCAATATTTACTTGCTGCATGCGCAAAAGCACATGCAGGAAAATAACTTAAAAACATGACAATCATCACCCGATAAATGCTAAAAATCAGAAACAGCGGTGTAGAGTAGTGAGGGCGATGAAGTGGGTGAAAAATGTGGCACCAGCGTAACTTTCTCGGCCACGATAACAGTTCTTTGAAACCATAGAAGCAATTATGCATCTGCCTCTTTTCACTAATTTTAAGAATTTATAACTGGCCCAAAAAATGAAAAGTTGCGTCTCAACACAGACCTAGGTCTGATGGTGAAGCTTGAGCTTTCGATCTTCAAAAGAAACAGTTGACTGGGAAAGTAGTGCGACTAAAGACCCCCTAATCCTTGCATATTCTGTGAACCATTCCGCTTCCTTCTAAAACTAAGAGAGTCATGATTGAAATTTCGTTCCTAATACCCCATGGTACTGTTATTATATATGAAACCAAAGATAAATGAAATTCGTTCTGGCGATACTGTTGCACCCTTTCTATCCTGTCCGCAAGGTCTCGCCTGTGCGAAGAAGAAACAACTATGCTATTTTCTGCCATAGATCTTGATGAGTTTGCAGAATATATTTTTCTTGTCGCATGACCAGTTTAAATATGCCGTTTATCGAGATGATCACACGATGACGAATTCACCTTCCTGGGAAGAAAACAGACAGACAAGGATAGAAAACACAGAATGTGACTAGCCCGTCTTGAAAAGAAAACTCTCGAAAAAAATCAGTGGTCTTGTACGAAGTTGTTCCAAATTCAAAGTAATCCCAGAATGCCCATGAGCAAGTAAATGCTTACTGGGACACATAAGCAGGAATAATCATTTGAAATTTGGAAAAAAAAGAGAAAAATCGTCCCAGGGTGATAGATTAGGGTGCAATAAAAAAGTGAAATGTTCCTGCATAGGTCGAGCGACCAAAGTGCATGATCCGTTTAACCCTTCTTACTTTACTTATAACTGATTGAGTCTTCGAGATTCATATCTATCTGGATATCTTTCAACTAACAAGAGGGATATCAAGCGGTTGTTGATCGCAGGCAGTGTCGAGATGTAGCGAAGTCGATCGGGGGCGAAGCCTCAGTAGGCACCTTTAGCTTCATAGTTTCTGCGGCGCTTTTATATGCTATCGAGTATGGTTACTAGTGTGCGAAGAAATATCAGTGCGCTCCCGTCTAAATGTTACTTCAGGTCGAGGCCTCTCGTTTGTTACTCGTGAACAATGCAAATTCTCCAAGAATTCCAACTCTTGGTACTGTGTCCCACGCTACTCTGACGGCAGTAAAACGGCCGTGTCGAACCAGTGCTCGTCTGAGGAAGGAGGTTGAGACGATCGCGATCGATGATGATGATGAGGTTTTCTTGCTTAGTGTCCAAGTTTAGTACTTTGAGAGCTAGGTGCAGATATGCGGTCGTCTTCAGGCGAGTGTGGCGAATACGTCAACATCGGCTGCTAACTGCGAAGGGGATGAGAATGGCAGCGGCGATGGTACCGGTGGAGAGCCTAGCGAGAAACGGCCGCGAATGGATGACCCAATCAATGACGAAGTTCTTCTAGTGTTCCCTCCTGGTGAAAGTGGAGCGATTACACGTGAGTCTTATTTGTTTACCTATTCCTTTATTGCGTTTTTCTACTACATTTCAAATTTTACCTTTTTACTTGTGTTCTCTTCAGTTCACTTCGAAGATTTACGGGTGTTAGCTCATGGCGAGATGCTTAATGACAACATCATAGAGTTTTATCTGAAGTACATTCGTGCTAAGCTTGTCGCCAAAGAACGGTACTTCCACTCTGGCTTTCTTCTTTGATTGGGATGTCTTCAAAGTAATGATTTCAGACGCGATGCGGTTTTTGTATTCAATACGTTTTTCTATCAGAAGTTGACAGAAAAGCAACCATCGATCTCAATATTGAACAAAAATCATAGGAGTTCTGTTGGAAGATTCGAATGGGTTTGTTCGTTCCAACAGTATCGAATATTATATTTTTTATGGATAGTTTACCTGCCTCTAGATGGCTTTTGAATATCAAAACGGCGAGGTGGAGTTGAAATGAAATTTTCATTCAGATCAAAAGAAATTTTTCAAAAGTGAAGTCATGGACGAAGAAAGTGGACATTTTCAAAATGGACTACATAGTTTTGCCAATAAACGACGAGATGCACTGGTTTGTTTCTGTTTATTACTTTGTTGGATTTCTGGTGCATAGTCTGTTATGTCTCTGATGTGCACAGACTTTGCCCATTGCCGCAGCTGAGAAAGCATCATTTTATGGGTTGTTACTGCAGGTACCTGGTAATCATAGTGAAACCTGCGTTGGCTGTCGTTTCACAACGGAGTGAAGATGTCGAACAAGCTCGAAAACGTGGCTCTTGCAGAGCGGATCCTGATACTTTTATTGTGGTGCTTGACTCCTTACCAGACCCGAATGATGTAAAAAGGTGAATTTCGACAAGTAAACTTTCCAAAATGTACTCCTAATTACAGTCGCGCCGTTAGCTAGGTCTTTAAGATGTGTTGTTGATTTTCCATATAATTTAAAGTACTGGTATCGCTCAATCCAATCACTTATGAGGCGCTATTTACGACGCGTATTGCATGGAAGTTCCATTTTTTGCCTTATTTTTTTTCAATCTGGCATCTGTTTTAGAAAATGTGTTCTGGATATATTGAGAGATTACTTGGAGTGCGAACTTGCTGATAAACGTGGTCCCCACGAAGAAGTATACCTGGACAGAACACGTATAGGTGCACTGTACCCGCTAGGTGTTCCACATCAGGAAAACTACGTTGACTGCGGCCTTTACTTGTTACAGTTTGCCGAAGCTTTTCTTACGAAGCCACCATCTGGAAAAGTTCGTTTTTTCCCTTTGTATTGCTCTTTACTAGCGGTACTCCTTCGATTTCCTAAATAATCTACTGAGCGCTGTGTTCCTAGATGTTGAGACAAGGCGTCCGCTGGAAAGAGTGGTACCCGTGGTTCGATCATTCGATGTATTTTATGCGTGAAAAAATTAGTCGACGATTGCAAGGGCTATGCAATAAGAAGGTTAGTTCTATTTGATGAAAATGACGTTGGGGGGGGGGGGTCACATCATTGTGCTCTGCTGTTCTAACGCTAAGGATCAAGATATCTACGTTGATAGGGTTCTGGAAAGAGCTGATAACATCTCCATCTGAAGCAGCTTTTGATAGAATCGGGTGAAGCAGCCAGGACGGCGGAGGGAAACGATCCTGAGCCAAGGGCACCCGCAGAAAACTCTCGCACAATGCTAAAGAGAAGAGAATATGGGTAGGGGATGACTCCAAAGGTGGACCACTGACTTTGTGTGAGGAGTTGGATTGAATGTGTTGGGTTTGGGCCCTTTATCTGTTCTAATCAAAGAGTTTTTTTTTTTTTTGAAAAAGAGCGTTATCAAGCTTCCTATCTACTGATAGAGAAATTCTTGTGTAGAGAAGCATAGCACAAGGGAGTAGTGGCCAACAAATCTAGCCATTTTTACCGTTTTTTTTTCTATTTTATTTCGGTTTTAGTTCTTATCATAAGTTTCTGCAGTGGGTCCAGAATGAAAACCTTTAACATGAAAATCTGTTTTTTATACAGTTTTGCGAAGAGTCATCTTGCCGTCAGTTCAGAAACAGTATTTATTCGTTACTCTCAGAAGAGATTGCTCGCAACTCACTGCATTATGAGTACTGACTGTGGTGACGTATGAAGCATCGGTTTGTTACCAAAGAACTGTCGGAAAACAGTTGAACCCATAATGATAAATTTATGAGCATTGCTATCCTCTTTTGTTACTTTCCTTGGTAAATACTGCATTTTTGAGCTAACTTTAACAACTTTTTCAAAGTCCAATATGAGCATAAACCGTACTTCTTCGGAGGTAGCTAGATTATGAAAATGGATTGTTATTTATATATAGGCATGGCAACGGTTGGAGGCTTATGAACGTCAGCAAGGGCGTGGTGTTAGTGTTGAGACGTCAACTGTAATAATTGAAAGTGAGTTCTTGCATATCTTTCTTTAATTCTCTCCCTTGTATATTGTAGAGAAAGTACATTGCCGAATGTGCAGTTCCCCCGCACATGCGGTTGCGACGCGGTCCGCTTTTTTCACGATTTAATGCTCTCTGCCGTTTTCGTTTCTGTATCTTTTTGATGGAAAAAATATTCATGGTGTGGCTGGAGTGCTAAACTTTGTGCCATGTGGCAAAAACGCTCTTATGAGCTCTGGCTCACCGCATTCTAGCATAGTGTACGTACTTAGGGAGTCCCCCCCCCTCACGTGATTTTGAATTTTTTGATTTTATTCAATTGTTGGTAGTAAGGGTCTGAGCAGTTCAAACCAACTGATTAGGTACGCTTGTTCTGTTGATCGTTCGTAGAAGTCTCGTTGACGTTCATATTTGTCAATCGTAAAATTTATGCTGATTGTATTTCAGAAGCTCGACGGCCGAGACGTCACAGTGAGACTCGCCTTCATGAACCACATCCGAGAGCACGCAAAAGAACCCACTCTGAACCACCGAATATTAAGAAATGCGCTCCTCCTGCTCCAAGGATGGTTCCTTAGGATTTCTGGCTCAGTGCATGGTTTTTCGGGTCTTACTCCATTGTGTATGAGACCAAGCGTGTTGCTTTTTCAATACTGACATCATAAAAATCATCTATCAAAAATTTTTCAAGAGGGGGATGCAAGGGGAATGGCTAGTGAGCAGTGCACTTTCATACCGCATTGGTTGGTTGTTTTCCATTTCCTTCATTAAAAGCTAGGAGAAGTTCAAGGGAGCGGATGCGGGTGATGGTGGAGGCAATCTAATGGGCGGCTTTCCTTTGAGACCTCCCGACTTATTGTTTGACGCGATGAACTCTACTTTGTCGAGAATTTCATAACGCAATAGAAGTGTCATTCTGGAATTAAGGTGCGGTCAACTTTTTTCATGTTCCAGTCGTTTTTAATAATTTAACTTGTTACATTTGTGTTGAATACTAACCTCCGAGAAAGAGCACGAGTTTGTAATTCGTTAATAATAGGTGATAATATAGAAGATGTTTATCTTGACGTTTCCACACATGCCCTAATGTCTGGTAGTATCCGTTGGGCTGATGGCGTCGACCATCTCACGTGTATAATTTACATATGTTGCTATTCGTCTCTCGTTTACAGTCGCTTTCACAGAAGTAGTCGCATCGGTTCAGCCGGGAAGCGGTAGCATTGCAGCATTGTGCTAGGGCTGCAATCACACCTTGCCTCTGAAGAAATCGGTAAATCCCTACGACACCGGTATTTTTGCATCTCAGGTGATCGCGCAGATGAGAAAAATAGAGTGAGAATTAGTGGTGTGCTCTTATAGATCTTTGACAGTCGGGAAAGATGTATTGCACCAATGAAAAGACTTGAATGTCACAATGGGTCTTGAAAAAAGATCTTATGGAAGAAAATGTAAGTATTAGTACTGTTGCAGATTTATAATTAACAATTAATGTTTGAAAGCGATAATGTCACAGTAATAAATTAATCGTCAAGACGTAGATATGACCTCGCAATTCAAATTTAGAAAATAAAAAGTTCCAAAATGGCAACTGAAGGTCTAAAATGTAAGACGAAAAGGTTCAAGAAAGGTGAGAATTCGCAAGCAAGTCCCTTCAACAGGGCTGTAAATGTAGAGAGTCAAATGTTTCATTTGTGGGTCGCTAAAATGTGCTACTTTCTTTTGGGGAATTAGCCAAAAGAGATTGCATCCTTACATTTCTCTACGTACTATTATTCCATTGGATGGTTTCAGGGATCAGCGAGCAAAACATGCCGCTCTTGTGCTTTTTCGTTGCGTTAATCTAAAGCCCTCATTGAAGGCATCAGTTTTTTATGGTCGACTTATTTCGTTTCCTTTCATATTTCAGATGTTCAAATGCAATTTTAGGCTTTGGTGCTCCAATTCTGAATATGTGCGGTTGTAGCTACTTTTTGGCCATGACTAACCGTTATAGGATCATTAAATCTGATTAGGGCAATGTCTTGAATTTTGATTTCGCGCAAGATTTTCGCAATTTGAAGAGGGCTTGAGTGCAGCGTCAGGCTATTAACTTTGTGAATAAGTCTGTGAATGCGGCTACATGGCACTGTACGGTTAATATTCCTGTAATCTTATGAGAAATTTTCAAATGTGATGTGAATTGAACAACACTTGAACTATTCCGAAAGTTTGTGCCCGGTTGTTGTGTCCACAATTCGGGACTTCTCATTGTACTGGAAACCTTTCTCTCAAGGATCGGGAACCATGTCTAGTTACCCACAGTTATTTCTTACATAAATGTTCTTAGATGTTGCCACAAATGCATGTTCCAGTTTTTGCCGTAGAATAGAGGTTGCGTGGTTGTATTGCGGCCATGCGCATTTGCACAGTTTTGCGATAAAATTGTCATCATTTGCATTCATACATTTGTATGCTGTTGAATCTTCCATAACTTTGTTGCTATTGACATTTGAATTTTTTGTTTATGTTTACAACGCTTGAACAAAGATTATCCCATTATTGTTGCTCTACTGAAAATCTGTTGTGGGAATTCAAACGACATGTCGAGGAAACGATTTCTTGTGTCGTTACGCCGTCTAAGTACTTTCTAGGCTTTTTTATTGTATGATTTCCGACATTTAGTTTAAGCAGTTCATCGAAAGTGGTCATCATGAGTATTATGAGCTATAATGGAGGAACTATCCTCGCCATGGCGGGGAACGAGTAAGTCAACCTTGGTTTTGATTTCTCCCGACTTTCACTCTTTTTTGGCATAAGAGAATGCATGAACGAGTGATTTTTTGCGATATGGGCCTTGATTTATTTTTACCCATCGGATTATAATTGTTAGGTTTTCATAGTTTTGAGGAAGGAGAATTGAGACATTTTTCATGAACGTGGAACAGAGCACCATAAGTATGTCACCTGTACTAATGAAAGTAGACGTTCGCTATTATCAACAATTGTTAAATTCGAGTCGAGTTGACTGTTTTGCTCTTTCACTGAGTTATTTCCAAGTGGAAGTATCCTTTTTCACTTTCCAGGCAACCAACCAAGCTAGGTAAAGTTATGATTAAAATGTGGACAAAAATCCGCAGTGGTTCATCGCAAGCATTGAGAACTTGAAGGAAAAATGTTAGGCCTTGATTCCTGCTGAGACTACCATTTCCTTCCCATTGTATTTAATCACTTTAGACTTCCAGACGAGGAATAGTAAAATGTTAGAGCATTCGGCATCCATCAGTCCTTTCTGAAATGGTGCTCGCTCTCTGCCTACATTCATCGCAATGGTACTTGAACAAGAAGGTCTATATGGTGACAGCGATTGCCAGCATGTACGCGGCAACGCCGCAGCGCATTTATCCTCTATCATGGAGAAATTGGGTGCTTATTGGGGGGGAGTACGCGCGCGTTTTCGCGCCCTTAAGTGCAGAACGCGGGGTCCGCGAGGCAGGGAGAAGGGTGGCAGTTCAGGGGGAGGGGGTGATGTTGAGGCGCGTCACTCGACATGTATGAATGGCCGGAATATGCGAGTTTACACTGTTCTTCTAGAAAGGCGCGACGGGCCATACGTCGCGGAAGATCTAGGAGATCTTGGGACTATGCGGTTATAAACAGAGTCACTTCCACTGCAACTGCCATTTCTGCCTCTGCGGGAGGAATAGCAAAAAAACCACGGCAGTTTTTACGTCATGAGATGAAGCTGGTGAAGTGGGAAAAGTAATAGGTTATGTG